TGGGCACATTGCTTTCTTCAAAGTTGGAATGTCTCCTTTAAGAAAAAGATGCTGGCAGCTCTGAATCACCTTTCTCATAATTATGCTTCTCTGTGCTTGTCCCAGCTTTTTATTTAAAAGAGTAAAAGCTGAGCTTCAAAAATTACTAAAATTCCACTCTCTTGCTTAGATTGTTCCAAACACATGGAGAGTATTACCTGACTTTCTTTCCTACTTCCTATAATAAAAGCACTTTTTTTCTCTGTTGCAGGTGTGAGGTTTCTGTGTTTGTGTGTTCAACTTGGTATCAAACACTTATTACCCACATTTTCTCTTCCAGCTCCAAAGGAGACTCAACGTATTCCTGCTAAACCTAAAACTTCACCCAAACCTCATATCCCACAAGCCAAAGATGGTAAACTGCTTTGTGTAATTATCCCTAATACCTTTTATATTGGATTGAAACTTATTTCTTACCAGTTGTTTAGTTATCTGAGCTAGTTGAAACATAATGGGGTTCTGTTCTGCTGTGTGTTCAGTGATTTATTTGGAGTTTTCAGGAGGAGTAACACTCGCTAACATGCAAAAGAATAAATCTCTGCTACTTTGTGGCAGCAGGATGAGAACATCGTTGTTAAACTCAGATTACGGTGGTAACTAAAGCAAATACCTAGAAAGTAAAGTATGTATTATGGCTACTTAGGTGATATGATTCTTTTCCACATTGCTTTGTGTGAGAATAAATACGTTTCTAAGTCACAATTATTTCATTAAATGGCATTATTATTTTCTGCATGAACAAGTAAATTATCCAGTGCATAGTTACTATTTCTTTATAAATATTAATATTTATTAGTATTAAAGATCATTTATGCTGTATTCCAAAACACTGGATTTTTATACTATGTTATTAACCGTAAGTGCAGTTCAATTCAGTGTTAGGCAGATAAAATTACTTTCTATCCGGTTGGTAATATCAACAGCAAATTACAAGGGTATAAAATATCAACATATGTTATCTTTTGGTAAGTGTGAAAAATTTCATGATAATCACCATACTGAATGTCTTTAAATTGTAGACATGGAGCAATATTTTCGAAAGTGGAGGTTATCTATTAAATATTGTTTCCTTATGTAGAAAACAGTCAGAATCCTTGTTCTCTCATAATTTTTGAACCATGGCAGCTCATTATAAAACGTTATTTCCAAACTGCAACTTAGATTGCAGCTTCCCATAAACTCAGTTTTTACATCTGTGGCCATTTTTCATTATTATGCCTTCTCAAAAAATGATTTCGTCACACAAATGTTACAGGTATGTACTGTTCTTTTTCTTAAAAAAAAAGTTACTATTTCTTCAAGAATCTGTGATATACAGAACTTTTTTTTATAGCATCATCCACTTATCTTGTGCTTGCCTTAAAAGATCCAGAGAATTTTTTTTTGTTGTCACCCATACGGAAGAATTGACACAGAGAGGAATACCATTTCTATTGTGTCTCCATTTCTAATGGAGGAAATGCAAGAAAATAGCACCAGCTTCACATCCTTATGTCCCTTAAATGCCTGGTTTTATTTTAGATCCGTACCAGTTTAGAGCTGAAGTATGAGATCGTACAATGCTCTTTAAAAATACAGCATCCAGAAAGCAAGCAAGTGGTCTCTGATTCCAACTGTATACATAAACTGCATTTGAAATACTGCACAAAGGGAAGAGACTTGTATCCCTAAAAAGCTGTTTTCTGAGTAAGGGAGTGATAGATATTTGGATATCTCATTGAAGCCCATGGGAGAACTAAGCTCACATTATGTTTCACCTTACACTGCTTTCTCAGAGACTTCATTTAATGTAACAGTTTTTGTGTGAGGCAGTATGCACAGTATATAATCCAAAATACAATTACTAGACAAGTAATACTAATTGTAAGTGGAGTTATTATCTTCAGTTTTCATAATAGCTTTTGTGTTTTGTTTCTGATACAGTCCTGGAATCTATAACACTTAGAATTGATCAACTAACACCAATAATAGGTAACAGTTTTACCAACAGGCACCATCACATTTAGCTTTTTTCTCAGTGTACATCAAGCATCACAAGTACATCTTCATTGTACTCTGCTGTCATCATTTTTTACTATTCAGTCCTTCTGTAAGTTTTTTTTTGTGATTTTACACTAACAATTCATAATCATCTTGTTTTATTTTTCTCACATAATTATGTTCTGTAAAGCGAGGGGAAGCACCACAATCTACCTTTGACTATGTTTCTGTCATGTGCTGCTTCATCTTTTATACTACTCCATCCATACTGGTCTTGCTTTATGTTATCCTTTTACAGAGGTTCTCCATCAGCACCATTTTGTTGTGTACCAGACATTCATACTTCTCCATTACTCGTAAAAGCTGTTTGTGTTTCCAGAGGGTCCCAAAAGCATATGTTCTTTTTTAATAGTATACCTTCTGTCAGTCTCAGTTCTTGAAAGATTTTAATAGTTGGACATTTTCTCAATTTCAGTTCCAAAAGAAACACAACGTGTTCCCTCAAAACCTAGAACATCACCAAGCTCAGAGGTGCCACAAAGCAAACCTGGTAAGTAAATTGTTTCTTTATCTTACCATACATGTGTCATTTGTGTGTCTTATGAATCCTACCGTGACCAGTAGAGCTCCAGATTTACATGTATCCCTTGTGTGTAAGTGCTGGAGCATTCCTTGAAGGGTAAAATCTGGTATCATCTGTCATGACATGTGGAATTGGTAAGTTTACAATCTCTATCTTCAGTTCATTTTTACATTTTAAGTTACTGCAACAGTGGGCATTTTCTGTGAAGCTGTCAGTGAAAATAGGTCTTTTCTGTGTGAATTTGCTTGGGTTTTGGGAAAGTAAATATGAAAAGGAGGGCTGTCATTGCAAAGAGGATTGGGGTTTTCCTGTATTTCTCAAATTGTGTACTTTCTTTTTCTTTCCTGGGCACAATCTTTGATTTAAAGTTTCCAGTTCACTTTTGCATAGCCCTTATGTTGTTCAGAGATTTAAGAATGTGTAATACTGTCTATAATGTTGTTTATACAGCTTGGTATAGAGCAGTATACAACCCTAGGCTAATTATGGAAGGAGAAAAACAGTTATACAACTCACACTAGCAATTGAATGAGGTACTGTGGTGGGTTAACCCCAGCCAGCAACTAAGCATTCACTAGCCACTTGCTCCCTCCACCCCACAGTGGGTAGGCGACAGAATCAGTAGAGCAAAAGAGAGGAAAAACAATCGTAGTTCGAGATAAAGACAGTTTAACAAGTGAAGGATAAACAGAAGGGAAAAAAATAAGTGATACAAAGGCAGCCACTCACCACATCCTACTAGCAGACCAATGCCAGTCTAGGAGCAATGGGTCCTTTAGAAAGACTATCCCCCAGTTTTGTGGCTAAGCATGAAATTATATGAGGTGGAATATCCCTTTGACCAGTTTGGTTCAGTTGTCCCGGCTGTGTCCCCTCCTAGCATCTTGCCCACCCCCAGCCTACTTGCTTGGGGACAGAGTGAAAAACAAAGTAGTACTTGATGCTGTAACAAGAACTATTCAGCAATAGCTGAAACATTGGTGTGTTATCAACACCGCTTTGATCACGAATCTAAAACAGAGTACCACAGGGGCTGCTTTGAAGAAAATGAACTTCATCCCAGCCAGACCTCGTATGGGTATTCAAGGTGTATGCTGATGGAGAAATGGGCAGAAAGATGACAAGTTTCCTTTTTCTCCCAGTAAGTCTGCACCTATTGTTTGAATCAAAACCTTGAACTAAATCAGGAAAGTGTACAAAGTTGAAGGTGAAAAACCACCCACAATTTCTTTGTGGCTTATTACAAAAGCTTCAGATTTATATTTGGGCTCTATTCCGTATTAGATCTGTTGCCTTGAACTGGAGGCAATTCTGAGCAGCACGATACTCTGACATGTACTGAGTTTCAAGCAAGAGTCACTGTCTGTCATTGGCTGTAGAAGGGATGGTATGATCCTTGTGGAGGTAGCGATTGTAATGTTTTGATTGTTCTTGGTAATACTTGTTTTTGTTTTTTATCACGCTAACGCAGTTCTGGAACTAATTACATTTAGAACTGAGAAACCAAAGTCAACAGTAGGTAATGACATTTTCTAACTTGAATAGTCACGTTGTCTTTCTTCTTCAACACAAATCATTAAGACCAGACCTGCAAAACTTTCTCACCTTTCATTGTATGTGCCTTAATAATTTAACAGTCAAGATTCTCTGTCTCTTTTCTTATTTTCTGCAAAACAATTGAGGGACATCCTTGTGCCTTTCAAGTTGTTATGCACATAACATAGGGCAATTTTCTTCAATATTTAATGATAAGAGGCAGAGGGCAGATCAGAACAGGATCCTAACTTACATGTTCTCAGTCATACTGTAGAGGTGATGCTGTTCTAGTTAGTCACATGGTTTGGGCAAACAGAGGTGCATGCTTACAAATTTTATTTCTTTGCTTCCCTTCCCCTCCAGTTTTACTGAGTGAAATTCGGTCCTTCATAGAAGTCTGAAAAATAATTCTGTTTCACTCAAACCTCAATTCCACTGTCGGAACAGAATCACTTCAGTGATCTTTGGGTCATATGATTCCTTGAGGTGGATCCATTTGACTAAGACATTTTTATCATTTGAATCTGGTACTGCAAATCATTCAGTAAAACTTCCATTACAGAGCAGTGGTGTCTTAGTATTTGAAGCTACTTACTTTGTTTTCTACTTATTTTATTTTTTAAGTCCTCTTCTTAAATAGAACCAGTAATTCTGTCACATGCTTAGCTGATATGTCACAGAAGATTATTTCTTTTCTCTATAGCCTGATTTTGTTCCAAAATCCCCTTCTCTTTTCCATCACTTCCATAGAATATCTTTGGTTCAAATCTTTGCTCTGTTTTTTGTTGACTGTTATGGGTGGTAGCGGACACTGATACCTTGGAAAATTTTCATACGGTGTAACCCGGTTTCTTTCTTTCAGTTTCTAAAGATACACATCATGGGCCTTCCAAACCTAAAACATCACCCAGTCCACGTGTTCCCCCAACTAGAGCAAGTAAGCTAATCAATATCCTGCCCTTTAATGCATGAATGTTTTATCAGTTTTAAAATTGTCAAGATCAATGAATTCTCTGAAGGTACACAGATACTTATTGAATAGGCTGTGTTTTACTGTTGTAATCAAATTTTGCTATATAGCTGTCATGGACAAAGATGATCACCTAGATACTTATACTTGTCAATAACTTGTGTAATGGTAGGTATGTGGGGGTTAACACTGATCTTCAGCCCTTGCACACAGGAAAATTTGTGTCTTAAATAGAATGTGACAGAGGTATTTTTGTTTTCTAGTTACTCATTTACAAGTGTAAAATTGCAGTACCTCCTGTTCCCAAAACTTTGAAAATAGTTCTGTCCCTTTGAAAATTAGTGGTAAATTTCCACGTTTCTTCTGCTTTGACTGCTTTGCTGGAGATTTTTTGTTTTAATGCAAAGTTTATTTAAATGAGGAGCAGATTTTTGGAACATGAAACAGTTGAGAAGTGCAACTAGGGGAACTGTTAGAACTACAGCAGTTTACTCTGTAGAAAGCTCTATTTGATAGAGCTGAGAGGAGTAGAGAGTTAATCCAACACTGCACTGTAACAGTCACTTAATTTCTGCACTAACATAATACTGATTGCATTGACAGGAGATCTCTGATTATTTTCAGATGGAAGAAATAACTTCCTAAAAAATTTCTTTGCAGAAAATTAATCTCCTGTCAGGAAAATCAAAAGACTGGAATCATCATCCTCAATAACATGTTCAAAACTTTGCTCATCTTCACAGGTCCAAAAGAAAGTCGGCAAGTCTCTTCCAAGCCCAGGGCATCAACAAGTCCAGATGTAGCACACACAGAACCTGGTAAATACGTTGTTGTTTTGTTGTGCTTGAATATTCAGGGTTTCTTTTGGGTTGTCCTTCCTCAATGAATCAAGTGTTGATTAATATGACTTCATATTACAAGCAGATTTTCTAATGGTCATTAAATATATGTTTAAAGGAAGTGCTGATTCGTATTTTTAATGGCTGAGTTTTGATGAGTTGTATATGCTTTTGAGCCACAAGACAGCTGTCACTGATGAATAATCTGCATAGCAGCGTAGACAACATACAAACATAAGAATGTTCTTGGAACACACTGCATCTCCTCTGTCCCTATCAAAAGATGCTTAGAAAAAAAACATATATGAGGGCCTTCATGTAATGAATCTAAATGTCTGTAACTCAAAACACTCGTATGTTTGTGTACCCTGATAATGGAGTTTGACCCTTAATTTGAGTGAGTGTATATTCACTAATTCCACCAATAAATATTTTTTTAAAATGAACAAATTTAAGTATGTGTTCCAGTTTGAAAAGAAATCAGTCATGTAAAAGGGAATATTTTTACCCTTTTGCTTGTACTTATCGCTAATCCTGTGTACGTTCTTGTTTTTATTAAGTTTTGTCATCTACTACATTTACAGTTGAACAACCAAAGACAGCAACAGGTAAAGATGTTGCCTAGGGGTGGTCATGATTATTTTTTCCCTGCTGCTCCTTGGACCAAAGATTATATATCATTAGTCTGTTTTTCATGTCATCTGTTTGTGGTTTTGATTTGTTTTCTTTTCTGCTTATTGAAATTAATTCTACTCTGTTCTAGGTATTGAAAGATTCCTGGCTGTTCTGTTGTCTTCACAGAAAATTTCTTTCACTCACATACATTGTAATTCCTTTGACACTTCTAAGAGACAATCATGCTGTGGGTATTGCAGTTAAGAGCTCTGAAATACAGATGAAAACATCACTATAGTTGTCTGTGTTCTTTCGGGTTTTGTTACTTGGCTCCAAATTTTGCTTACTTGATCATTTTCCCACCCATGTTTTCATTCATTATTTTCTTTCCTCTTTAAATTCCTGTATGTATCTGACATTCAGTTTTTCACTCTTTCATGTAAGGATCTTGTATTTCTTCGCAAGCAAAAGGCATGCAGTGCCCATGCAATAAACCTGTCTAATTTCTGAAGAGTATAAACCCTTAAAACAGGTCTTTTCTTTCAGCTCCTAAAGAACCACAACATACTCCCTTTAAACCTAAAGCAGCTCCCAGCCCAGATGCTCCACACAGGAAGCCTGGTAAATTATCTGGTCTTTTTGTCAAGCTGTAGTTGCTAACTGAGCAACTGCTTTCAGGGTGGGCAGTGGGGGCAGTTGTCAACAGTACATTTGCTGTTACCTGGGTATCATTCTAGCTTAAGAAACCTCTGCAATGCTGCAGTTAAGTCATACTACTGATGAAAACAAAAACAGTTCAAGATTTTTTTTTCATATTATGCAGATATTACCAGAAGAAGAAATAGTAGTGACCTGTGTGTTTAAATTAATGATAAGAAGTTATTCACAGCTTGTATCTGAGCAACACACTAAAGTTGTTTACACCATGTTTTTGAAGCTCTTATGAGAGAGGCTTCTTCAAGCTGCTGCAGTATTTTTTCTTTAAACAGACATTTTCATCCAGAGTAGACTGAGGATTCCCTTCTGCTGTGTTTCGATTAGGGGACTACGCATCATAAATCTGACAGACCTGTACAAGATAATCAATGATTTCACTGAAGGGTTGTTATTGGTTTTTTTTAAGTATCTAGATGTTAAAAACAAACAAAAAATTGAACTCAGTGTAACCATGAATCTCTGAGGGCAAATGCCCATTTCTGTTTTCAAACATCCATTTCCTGGTGTATATAGTATAGTGCTGAAGGAGTTTTTTTAACGGGATGTGAGGGAAAGGGAGAGAATCTTCTTTATTCTGAGCATTTATTGACATTTTTTCCAACAGAAATCATTCCAACCTTCCATGAACCAGATACTACTATGATTCCTCATATCCCCGAAAGAACAAAGGCAACATTGGGTAATCATGTGCATTTCATAAATAATTACTCTATTTTCCATTCTTGTTAGATAAGACATTCTTAGAGCTTATTACATGATACTATAAACTAATAATGGAAATAAATCAAATACTAGTTCTGAAAGCCAACTTCCCTGCTAATTCTAGACATCCATGCTTAAATACATGAAATGCTAGCTGAGAATTCTTTCTTCTTAACTTAAATGTCAGGCGTGGACCAAATAAAGCTCAATGCATCCAAGCAATATTGGGCAGCAGGTGTGTTGCTTGAGCAGTCTTTGTTAGTAATGAGTTCTCTGTCCCCAGTTTCAGAGACAGACAGGGAACATGATTTTCTGAAAGTGAAATGGTGTCATGAATGAAGTATTAATAGCCATTTAATAACCTTTGAGCTATGTTTTTTCTTTTTGAGGAATAGGAAATTAAAAATGCTTTTCATCATGTTTCTATTTTAACATATATTCCCTGTATATATTGATATTTAGGTTAGTATTCATTTGATATCTCTTTATATAGCTTTATGAAGTTTATGTGCCCTGTTGTACACATCTGGGCCTACCTGATGCAATATTCATATGCAGAAAATGGTTCTTCAGAGCAAGGGGCATGAAGAATGCACAGGCTAAGGCGGATATTTTGGGGACCTCTGACATAAGAACAAAAGAAGTTGATTTATAAATCAAGTCTGATATGAAGGGTCCACTGAAAAATAGATCCTGTCCTCAGATACTCATGTGTGGCAGATGTGGAAGATGTAGGCTACTACTGTTGATTTTTGTCCCATTACTTCACTGTATGCTGTTCATGACTATATTCTTCATTGCTTCATCCAAAGCTACGAATTTGTATATAATTTTGGGGACGTCTGTTTGTGTCAACAGCCATTTAATTTGTTTTCCTTTCTTTGCAGGAATTCCAACTGATTGATTTTCAATTTTGCCCTTACATAGTTTGCCTTATTGCAGATCAGATCATTCTTATGCTCCTTGTGTGCTATGAAAGCAGTGTGATTTTTCAATTATTGTTCCGGGTGCTGTTTTGTTTTTATTTCAGCTCCAACTGAAAAACAGTTCATTCATACCAAACCAAAAACATCTGAAAAACCAAGAGTGCCACACACCAAACCTGGTAATGGAGTAATTCTTTTAATATTGTGTGTTTGTATTTAACCACTATTTCCCTTATCCTCAGGTTTTGTGCTTTTTAACGGAATTATTCATAGCTGCTTTTGTGGTGAAACAAATACATTACACTGAAGTCAGTCAATCCAAAATATGCCAAAACTACAATGGAAATAGTAGTAAGATTTGTAGTGTAGCATCAAAAATGTTTTTCCTTCCTTCTGTTACATATAGTAGATGATGACTAAAATGCAGTAATGTGGGCGTTGACAGATTTCAGTGGCTGGATAGACTGAGTTCTCTCTGATTACTTCATGGTAATCAGAGATGCTCCTCTGTGAGCACTTTATTTTTTTAAAATCCATAAAATGCAACAATACTTCTTTGCTATGTGCTTCTACAGTTGGCAACTGACATTGCGTGCTATATTGAAACAAAAGTAGCCTTAAAAATAGTTAGGGAGGGCTGTGTCTCTTCCCATTTTTGTTCTAGAAGGAATGTATTGGAGAAGTTAATAGAAAGATTATGATAACTGTCAGCAGCTGATTTTTAAAATATTCTGCTACTCTTTAGCTCAGGGCATTTTGAAAGTTCTAGAAATAGTGCAAATGCTGCTTTGTTTCTATTACGGTTTAATATTCTAAGATTCTTCACATTTTCTCCTTAACAGCAATACATCAGACAACTCCACAACCAATTATTACAAAATCTTCTCCTACCACTGGGCATTCAAGGGCAACAATGGGTAAATAAATTTCTTTAAAGTTAAGATGCAGGTATTTTTAGTTTTTCAGTGGAGAAATTTCTAGAGAACCTGCTCTGGTGTGGTGTTTTGTATAATATCCTTCCACTATCTTTCATTCTGCTTACACACATGCATGTTTCTTAATACAGATAAGTCTCAGTTCTATCCTAGACGTAAAGCAGAAATAGCCTACAGTTCACATCTGGTCAGAAGCCTGTGTTTGTCAGATCTGCAATCAAATTCAGTGGTATAATTTTTCTTTTAGAGCAAGAATTTTAGCCACTAACTCAACTTATCCTACAGCACAGTGCTCGGACTTTTCCGTGTTTTGAATACTCATTCTGTTTCAGGCTCCAGAAAGCCATGGAATTGTTATTGTCTTTTTTCAGGCATTTGAGGCATGCATTTTCTGTGGGCTAAATATGGCATTGGATCATGACTCCTGAAGAATACAATAATAATCTTTTTCCTTTTCTTTCAGCTCCAAAAGAAACACTGATCGTTCCTTCCAAACCCAAAACATCTGTCGGGCCAGAAGTACCACAGACTAAACCTGGTAATTTAAAGTTTGTAACTTTAAAAATGTTATTGTGGAACTGCCTTAGTTATACTTTCTGCTGTCATTCAGTACTGCAGTCATGTGGCATGCATGATACATAAACAGAAATTAGTAACGTTGTTCAGCTCAGAGTACGTTAATTATTTATATCGAAGAGAACGCCCAAGAATTGCATCTATTTCCATGGAGAGCAGAAGTTAACGTGGTTGGGGTTTTTAAAATTTTTTTGTTGAATTGGTGAGCAGTAGCCATTAAGCAGTGAGGAATTCAGTCAATTTTAATAAAAATATGCAGCTGTAGGCAGCTTCAGTAAGTTCTTTTATTTTGGGGGATTTTATTACCCTAAATACATTTGCTTCAGTTTCTCAAGTACTTCTGAAACTTGGGTTACAAAATCTCAGTTCAAGATAGTTAGATGCCAAGAGTATAGTACCTTCTTCCTATCAGGGATTTTTGCAGTAACTACAGTAGATTTAGAGATGCGTAGTTACAATGGAGGATGATGATACCTCAGCTTTACCCTGGGTGTGAACTATTTCCATA